GCAGCAGAGCTGGAGGCAGCTGTTTGCATCCTCCGGTCTTGGTCTTTACTTCATATATAGGCGAGGGATCCTGGTGAGCCAAACCTCACGCGCCACGCCCTGTGGCCCTGTGATCGTTTCTGCTCCCCTGGGCGCAAGGGATCAGGGTGGGTCTGGCGCGTGCCCTGTGGTCGGTTGTTACCACCCTGGGCGCAAAGGCCCACCTTTCCCTTTCAGCACAGATGTCAGTTTGTACTGGGGCAGAGCTGTTGTCTGGGGAGTTTGCTGGCATCTTACAAAGAGGTCTAGGAGACTCCGAATTTACAACTTTCTCAGACAAATAGATTCTCACCTTCCAGCCTGCCTCCCCAAAGCCAAGGCACCCAGTAAGACAACTTCCAACAGCCTCAGCAGGTACACCTCTAAGAGGGGAGCAGGTGGGAGGGACTGCCTTCCTGAAATGTTAAGGGTGAGCATTAGGCTCTCTGGCAAGAGCATTCCCATTGATGAATCCTGATGCACAGCTGCCATATTTAAGGCCCTTTCCTGTTTCTTAGGAGTATTTGTCCAGCTATTGGATCTCTACCAGTCAAACTACTTTCCATTAGTTCATTTCCACATCCTGGTGTGTGTTTCCTAAGGCTGGTGCAACAAGGTAGCATAGACTTTGTGACTTGAAGTGGAAGTTAGTCACTACCCAGTTCCTAGATTAGACACTCAAACTTAAGGTGTTTCCAGGGCAGGTTTCTCCTATAGAGTTGTAGTGAGACAAGTGTGTACTTCTCTGCTCACTTCTGGTAGTTGTTTGCAATCATTACTGTCCTTTGACTTATAGACCCAATTGATATTGAGCCAATATCTTCCTCAAATGCAGGGACATTCAACTGTCTGTGTGCCTGTGTCTGGGTATTTACTTTGTATTAGAAAGCACTTAGATTGGGGCCTGATCTGGTATAACATGAACTCAACCTGATGACATCTTCAACCACCCTAACTCCAAACAAGGTCACATTCACAGGTTCTGCATATATCTGGAGCGGGACACATTTCAACCCACAGCAACATGAAAACTCATTACTTTTTCTCATTAGGAAACTCCCCTTGACCACATTTCCTCTCTCTAGTAATACTTTGGAGTATTTGTCCAGCTATTACTCTCTATTTTAACTACATTTCTCTCAAATTCTTATATTCATGGTCCTTCTATTTCCTCTCTGGCAGTTAGTTGTCTAGGAGACTTAAGTCAAGTAGGTATTGGTGTCTCTTGAGTTACTGAAATTGCTGCTGCTCTGCATGTTCCAGACACCAGGCTTCATTGTTTTTCTCACACATATTTGAAATGTATATACCTGTCACCGGGCGTGCATATTTAAAATTTTATAAGGTGTCTCTTAGACCTTTTACCTGACACGTTTTCTGTTTGGCTGGAATACTGACAAAAGCTTACAAGAAAAAACTATTTGTAGCAGAAGCAGAAGCTGACAATTCAGATCCTAGAACTGCTACTTTCTCCTCAGCATTACTCAAGGCCAAGCTTACCTTGTTTCCTGGGACTTTATTGTCAAGTTCAGGTGTGGCTGAAGGTGATGGAATAATCCAGTTACTTATCCATATCACTCTCCACCTCACTCTCCATATTACTGTGCCATTATTGTCTCCAAAGTAAGATGAACACTGTTTAAGACATTCCCAAAGGAAGCTGCACTCTTCTGAAGTCCCTCTACAGTGGTAGGCAAGCGAAGCGTACACCTAAGTTAGCGCTGGTTTTGAGGTGTTTACTTCAGAACTCAACAGAAATATCTGCATACTCATCTCTGCAGTGCTGATCCTGACTATATTAGAGTCCAGATCCCCAATTACTTTTAAAGCTGTTTTTATTTGCTCAATAGCCTTGTATTACATTTGGAGATTTCCTGAAGTGAGGGTTCCTGATTAGACTTTTGTTGTTGTTGTTGTTGTTGTTGTTGTTGTCCTTATTCTTCCTTGACAGCATCCAGATCCTCCTTGAGAGCAAAGTGCATTCACACCAAGTCAAGATGGCATACAATTCAGGACTTACCTTCAGAATGATGAAAGGACGGAGAGGATAACAGATCCTGCAGCACAACTGTAAGTAGTCCTCCTTGACAAAAGAATGATTCCTAGTTGCATGGGAATGAATCTTCTTCCTCCCTTGAGTTGTATTGTGGCCTAAATCCAGAGGCTTCGTGTTAAGCAGAGAGAAACCGTCCATGGGTTACCTTATTACAGTGAGCTCTTTATGATTTTTTTTTTTAATCTCCCTTCGAGGGGTGAGTATGTTCATACCTCACACCCAGTTGTCTTGCTGACTTGGAGCTGCCTTTCAGGAGGGAAAATCCTGATTGGATCCCATTTCATTCTGATAACTCCCATTCAGGGGTGAGACTGACTAGATCCCCTGGGAGCTGGAAAATGGAGCCCAGGGAAACTGGACCCCAGATGGGTGGGAAAGTCACACAGTCATGGTCAAGGGCCTGGTGACCTGAATGGATAAATTTCTTTGTATTAAGAGGATAGGATCAGTTGTAATCTACCAAAGGGGAAAAGAGCTAAGTCAAGAATAAAAGCCTCAGCCTTTTAATCCTGGGATCATTGTAGGAGCTTGGGAAGGACACACTTTGGATTGAAGAGACAGAAATTCCAATGGAGAAGGGAAAGAAGCTTGCTTTTGAATAGGAAAATAGGAGGGGTTGCAGAGCAAGCAGTGGGAACTCCCTAGTCCCTGGTCTGAGAGGTAGCAGGAGAGGACTACCAGCTGCTACAATCCCCACACAGCCTGAATGCCCAGAAAATGCTGAGGCTAGGAAGCTAGTTGAGATTGATCATTTTTTTGTAGCTACTCTCCTGAGTGTGGAAGAGCCCAATTTAGAGAGCCAAACTAAGATGAACAACCCTGTGACTGGAGAAACTATAGCCTTGCTGACCAGGCTTGGACTCTTGATGATGAGAGATGACCACCACACGGCCAGCTTAAAGTGCTTCTAGTTTGGGGCATCCCAGCCCTGAGAAACTGCACAACCCACACACACAGCCACTCCCACTGCAGTCTTCATTCAGGCTCTGTTCCTTCAGCACTAACTCTGACTAAGCCGCTGGTGGCAGGGGGCTTGGACTCTAGCCCCAGACCTTAGCTGTTTTATTCTTAGCCTAGCACCACTGAACCTAGCCCCAGCTCCTTAGCTGGTTTATTCTTTAAAACACGTTTGTTTGTTGGTCCTCAATGGGTTTGAAATTTAGATAAAATATAGAATCTTAGGAGAAGAAATATTAAATGATGGTTGGAGAGAGGTTGGAGAGGTTCAGAGCACTGATTGCTCTTCTAAAGAACCTCAGAAGAGGTTCAATTCCCAGTAACCACATGGTGGCCCACAACCTTCTTTAATGGGATCAGATGCCCTCTTCTGATGTGTCTGTAAACGGTGACAGTATACTCACGTACGTAAGATAAATAAGTAAATCTAAAAAGAAGAAATATTCAATGATACTATTGATATTCTCATATTGTGTCAATGATCTGCTCCATTTTCTGAAAGATTTTTTTCTCTCTTTTATCTGCCTATTTCTTTCTGATATACTTTTTCTTTTCTTTTTCTTTTCTATTAGTGTTCTGAGAATAGTTTTATCTGCTCTTTAAAGACTAGATTCTGGTACATTTTACGTCTCAGAAATTCATCTTTATTTTATTTCTTCCTATTTGTGTTACTATTCTTTTTATTTGGAGCTCTTATATCAGTCTGTCAGTATTTATATAATTCTAGGTATTTCTTAGTTTTGCTCTTCATTTCTCTATTATTCTTCTACATGATGCTTTCTTTCCTCTTTTAAATCTCCCACATACAAATCAGACTTGAGTAGCTATTCAAATCATGACTCATTCTCAGTTTAGCACTTCTATTTTATAATCCCATATTTAATTTTATATTGACTATCTCTGTAGTAATGGATACAGTTGCTAATTTCAAATCCTAAGTATTTTCACTTACTTCATCCCTCATTCATACAAAATGTGGCAAAATTTAAAAACAAGACTGACAACATTTGGAGCAAATAGTATAAAAAAGAAGCAGAATATACAGAAATACTGATCTTTATTGAATTTTCAACTATGACACTTCCTAGCATTCTGAGTTTTCCTGTAACTAGCTTCTCTGTGATTAGGTTTAATCATGTGAAAAATGGGAATGAAGGTATATATAAAAGATGTATTTAAATTAATAATGGGTCTTTCACTCTTCTGTTGTTATACATGAGTTTCAATAGTTTGTTTTTATTTAGCTTGACATTCAAAATGGCCCAAAATATAATGTCAGCTCCACCCAGAAGAGGTTTGGTGTATGTTTCAGTTATTTTTACATTTCTGTGACAAATCATGTCACAATAAATACCTGTTGAAGGGAATTAACTACTTGATTAACAGTTTCAGAGGATTCAACATGTAGTTACTTGGCTCTATGCTTCTGAGCCATGGTAAAGCAAAGGTTTTTGAATGGAAGAATATAGAGGATGGGGCTGGTCACATTCTAGTGGACAGGAAGCAGAAAACAGAGGAAATTATAGACCAGGCATAAATCTTCAAAGCCAGCATTCTTTTATCAACTTCCTTCAGCTAGGCTGTACCTCCTAAGTATCCAGTACATGAGCCTGCACAGAACTCTTTGTATTCACATCATAACAATTTTATGTGAATATCTTGCTACAGTGCCATAATGATAAAACAAACATAGTATATGAATTTCATTAACTAATCTTGGTGATATATTAAATGAGCAATGTAGGATTTTTCTTTGAATGTCTTAACATTTCTTTAACAGGGAAGTTCTGAATTTTTCACATCTAATTCGGAAGCTAAATCAGCCACAAAAATGAAACGGGCAAAGCATCCATCAACCATTAGTAAGAAATTGACAAGTGTTCCAGAATTCCCTTTTAAAAAAGGACTACTGAATTTATCACCTAAGCCAAAAGAAAAGTGTAATACCAAGTCAACACCTGATAAAAATGAAGCAATGGTCCTGAGGTCTCCACCCACTGGGGAGTCAATTGTACGGTTTGCCTTGCCAATACCGTTGAGTAAGACAAAGCAGTTAATATCAAATGATGAAATGATCAGGAGAATTACCACAAACCTGAAGATGGTAAGGATAATTCCCATGATGATCACTAGCTGGGGGATTTGCTGTTAGGCAGTAGGAGAATCAACTAGAGTTATGATGGAATCCATATATCATTACCCAATGATAAGATTTATTATATCTAGCATGTAGAGGGAAATCAGAATGAAAATGGTACCAAGGCTATAGAGTGTTCTCTGATTGAAGTTGTATGAGGCATGCTTAGTTCCTCTGGTAGTATATCATGAAAATTCACATAGAATTTGTACCAGAGGAAGTTATTAGACACTCAGTGCCCAGAGTATTGATCAGTTAACGTGGTCTGTCTGTGTTAGGGTTTTACTGCTGTAAACAGACACCATGACCAAGACACTTCTTCTAAATGGCATTTAACTGGAGCTCCTTACAGGTTCAGAGGTTCAGTCCATTATCATCAAGGCAGGAACATGGCAGTGTCCAGTCAGGTATGGGGCTTGAGGAACTTAGAGTTCCACCTCTTGTTCCAAAGGGAGCTAGGAAACGACTGGTTGGTCTTAAAGCCCACACCCTCAGTGACACATGTACTCAAACAAGGTCATACCTGCTAATAGTGCCATTTCCTGGGCCAAGTATATACAAATCATCACACAATCTCTGACAAACATATATTAGAATTACAGGATCCAAGGAGAGCAGGAATTCAACATAAATCATGCTTTCTGGGACAAAAACCATTCTTTCTGCTTCCTGAAAACAAAATTTTTAAATGTCTGGCTAAGGCCCCCATTCCAAGCAGGGCTTTGTGGATATAAGTATCTTGAAATCTCATGCCAGCTGTAGTAATTGTTGTCTGCACTTCAAGCAAGGAAGGCAAGATAAGACTATAACACTTGATGTTTCTCCAATTTTAGTTTTACATAGTGGTTGACAGTCAAGTTACAAATGGGCTTTTAAGTGAGCACAAGTAGGGAAGATACCAAATTAATGATATAGTTTATCATACTTCTAAGGTACCTGTTAGGTCACAGTTTGCTATTGTGGAGAATGTCTTTTAAATTTTATTGTTTTCTTTTTTTTTCAAAATTTTTTAATATTCATTTTACAACCCAATTTCAGCCTCCTCCCTCTTCTTCTCTCAGTACCACCTTTACAAATACCTACCCACATTGTGTCCTCCCATAGGTACAACCACACCCTAAGGCATCTAGTGCCAGCAGATATAGGAACATCCTCTTCAATTGAGGTCCAAAAGGGCAGTCTAAGTAGTGGGAAAGGGGATTCATGGTGGGGATCAGAGACTGTGACAGCCCCTGTTCCACTTTTTAGGGGAACATATGAACATGAAGCTGCACATTTGCTAAGAATGTGTAGGGTGTCTAGGTACAGCTCCTGCATGCTTCCTGAGTGGTGAGCCAAGCTCTTTGGGTCCCCTTGGTCCCAGGTTAATTGACTCTGTAGGTCTTCTTGAGGTGTCCTGGACCCCTCTGACTTTCCCACATCTACCCCCCACTCTTCTACAAGAGACCCTGGGCTCAGCCTGAAGTTTGGCTGTGGATCTCTGCATCAGCCTAAGTCTGTTGCTAGATGAGCCTCTGAGAAGACAGTTATGCTAGATTCCTATTTGCATGCACAGCAGGGTATAATTAATAGAGTCAGAGATTGGCTCTCTCACATAGGATGGGTCTCAAGTTGGGGCAGACGTTGTGCAGGGCTGTAGCTCACATGTGGGTGTGGGTCCTGTTGGACTGTATTGTGATTCCCTCATGTCTGTCACCCCAGGTGGCTGGAATGGAGGCTCTGGGGAGCAGAAGTGTGGGAATTTAACTGAGTTCACTCTATGCTGAGCTGGCTGGGCTGTGAGAAGCTGCCAAGGCTCCTGAGTGGGGGTGAGGTGGCTGACCAGGAGGCCAGTGGTCTCTGTCCTTGGGCTCCCAGACGCTGCTGGGAGCCTCGGAAGAACTGAGAATGGGGCTGTATGGGCTGGACTGGTCTGGAGCCGAGAGGGACGAGAGAGAAGCTCTGGCAATGCCCTGTAGGGTGAGAGACTCTTGGTTATGGCACTTGCTTGGCTGGGTCGGTTAGCTTGCTTGAGTTGGCAGGGGTCCATGGGGGGAATATAGAGAAGTCTTCTATTGGGAGATTAAACAGCGGTTTGGTAGTCAAAGGCCTTCTCCATGGTTCCCCATGGTGGGGCCCCAAAGACACGAGGAAGTCCATGGTTTTAGAAGGTTTATTGTCATGGCGGAAAGTGAATAAAGGTGTACCCTCCACCTCCTGTATCTCAGGGCAGACCTGAGTTAAATAGGGAGGGAGAAGGGTCTGGGAAGGAATGCTTAATTGGCTACGCCCTCTGGCCTTTAGGTATCTCATTAATATGAAGATCTTTTGAGGCTGAGGCCTGTAGTCATACCTTCTACCTGTGCTGGGTGACACAAACCTCTTTTTGGGAGAGGCTGTAGGGGCATAGCCCTAAGTGACTGAAAGGTGTGGATCAATAGAGGTCTTGGCCTCATGTCAGGAGCCTGGAGTCTGGGAGTATGTATGGATACCTGTTGGGTCTCTGGCCATCTCTAGCCAGTGCTCCACCAGAAACCAAGCTATCCTTTCACTGTCCCACAATGTTGATTAGTTGTTCCCCAAGTCTCTGTTCCATCTTTATCCATGAACATCCTGTGGGCAAGACAAATTTTGGGTTGAAGAGTCTGTGGGTGGATTGAAGTTCCCCTCCTTCTTCTAGAAATCCTGTCTGGCTATAGGAGGTGGCCATTTCAGACTCTATGTTCCTCTTTGATCGGAATCTAAGTTTGTCACCCTCATAGACTCCCCATATTCTCTTCCATCCTAGGCCTCCAGCTAGTCACCAGAAATGGCTCCCAACCCAATTTCCATTCTGACTTTCAGGCCCCTCTCACCCCTACACCCCATAATGTATCACCATTACAGTTCCCCTCCTCACATCCTATCCTACTCATCTCCTTTTCTCCATTCACCTAAGATAACTAGTTTCCCCTTCTGAGTAAGATTCATGAATCCTCTCTTCGGAGGAACCCTTGGGAGCTCCTTATTACTCAGTTTTTTTGGGTCTGTGTATTGTTGCATGATTATCCTGTGCTTTATCGCTAATGTCCAATTATAAGTGAATACATACCATAAGGGTGTTTCTGGCTCTAGGTTACCTCTCTCAGGATGATACATACTCAAGTTGCACCCATTTGCCTGCAAATTTCATGATGCCTTTGTTTTTGATAGCTGAATAGTATTCCATTGTATAGATGGTCCACAATTTCTTTATCCATTCTTCAGTTGAGGGACATGTAAATTGCTTTCAATGTCTGCCTATTACGAATAGAGCTGCTATGAACACAGCTGAGCAAGTGCTCCTGTGATATTGTGGGACATCTTTCTGGTATATGCCCAGGAGTGGTATATCTCTTTACATTTTTTTATATAATGTGATATTCAGAGAAAAATCAGATTTTGAGGAAAACTCTACATTCTTTAGCCATTCACAGACATATATCTCTTTTAGCTATTTATCCACATAGAGAAGATACAGCCTTGGAGTGTTCTCATAAGAAGGAAGCAGGCTCAAACACCATTTAACAGGGCATCGTCTTGATAATATGTGAATGAATCAAAGGGTAGAAAGCATATATTCTTGCCACTGGCAATCAAGTGACATCTGTAAGAACACGGTGTGAACACTTTAGCATTTTTACTATGAAGAAATGGAACTTGCTTTGCATTTTTCTTAGGTTGTTTCTACCTTGGAAAACACCTATGGAAATCTCAATGAAGACAGAGAAAGAGGAGCAGTAAAACCTGAAGCACAAGGCTTGTCTGTATGTATATATAATGCTAATGAAATAAATTAAATGCTGGAAAGAGTTAACCCCAGCCTTCAGAATTCACACACACATTGTCTGAATAGATCACTATCTACACAAAGATTCTCTTGTGACATTTCACAAAAGTGTGATAATGTGTCCAGCCTCAGACAATTCCTCCTGTCTTAACTATCTGTAAGTCTACTTTTTATAGTCTTGCTTCTATGATGAGTTTTAAATATGAGCTTGGATATTTTGATTGCCTTGGCTATAAGAAAGTATTTTTGCACCAGCAAAATGGTTCAGTGAGTGAAGATGCCTGCCATATAGTCTGACTACTTGAGTTCAGTCCTTGGGACATACATAATGGAGGGAGAGGACCAACTCTTTCAAGTCATATTCTGAACTCCACGTGTATACTTTTGCAAGCAAACATGAGCCTCACCCCCAAATAAATAATAAAAAGTAAGTTTTAAAAAGTATTCTACTTTCTAAACATTAAGGTAGAAAAAGAAAAGGGTTTTGAGATCTAGTAAATTGTTTTAATTCACCTAGTAACACTCCTTAAGTTGGTTGTTTCTTTTTCTTGTTTTTTCTTGTTTGTTTGTTTGTTTTAATTTTTTAAGGTGTTCTTAAATTTTTATTTTTGTGTATGTGTGCATGTCTGCATGTATGAATGTGCACATATGTGATGGCCCCCACAGATACCAGAAAAAGACATTGGGCTAAAGTGACATGAGGTTGGAAGCCATCCAACGTGGGTGCTGGGAACTGAATTCTAGTCTTCTGAGAAGGCGTCAGACACCCTCAAATGCTGAGCCATCTCACAAGCCCTGTTTTACATACATTTGTCTCATCCAATATTTGTACTTGAGTTTTTTAACTTTTGTTTTTTTCATTGTTATTTTGTGTATATGAACAGCAGCATGTGCCATAGCATATATGTAGCAGTCAGGGTAAAACTTTGTGGAGTTAGTTTTGTTCTTTCCCCTTTACATGGATTCCAGGGATCAAATTCAGGTTACCAGACGTACCCCTTTTCTTTCTTAGCCATATTGCCAGTCCTCATGTTTGCTCTTCAAA